CGATAAGATTCCAACAGGATCCCATAGGATCGTATCGGATTTCCAACAGGATCCTATAGGTATCGTGTAGAATCCTATAGGGAACCCATATGATCCGATAGGGAACCTACAGGGGCCGTGTAGGATCCTATAGGGATTCCATAGGTTCCCGATAGGGATCCTATAGGGTCCTAAAAGGGGTCCTATTGGAATCGTATTGGATCCTGCAGCGATCCTATAAGACCCGATAATGATCCTATAGGATCCCCACAGGGTCCTACACGATTTCTATACAATCCTATGCGATTCGTATAGGACCCTATGGGATCGAATGGGGTTCCTATACAATCCCTATACGATTCCCGTAGGATCCTATAGGATCGCATGGAACCCCTCTATAAACCCTATACGATTCCTATAAGACTGTAGACGATTCCAATAGGATCCTATCGGATCGCATGGCATTCCTCTACTATCCCCATATGATTCTTATAGGATCCGGTGCGATTCCTATCGGATCCTATAGGATCGCGTGGCATTCCTCTAGTATCAATTTTACGATTCTTATAGTATTCCTATTGGATCGTATGGGATTCTTGTATACTTCTCATACGATTCTTGTAGGACCCTAGAGGATCGCATGGGATTCTTGTGCAATCCGTATAGGATTCCCATAGGATCCTATAGGATCGCATGGAATTTCTATACAATCCTGAAACTATTCCCATAGGATCCTATAGGATCGCATGGGATTCCTATACAATCCCTGTGGGATCCCCATAGGATCCCATATGATCGCATGGGATACCTATACAATCCCTATCCGATTCCCATGGGATCCTACAGGGTCGAATGGGATCCCTACAGAATCCCCACTGGATCGTATAGGGTGCCCTATCGAACCTCATAGGATCGCATAGGATCCTCTTGGATTCAGATAAGGATCCTATAGCATCGCTTGGGCTTCCTATGCAATCCCTTAGGATTCCTATAGCATCCTCTAGGATCGCATGGGATTTCTATGCGATCCTACAGGGTCGCATGGGAGTCCTAGATCCCTATAGAATACCCAAAGGATCCCGTAGGATCCCTATAGGATCCGATCGGATCGCATAGGATCCCTATGGGATCCCTGTATGATCCCTATAGATTCCTTTTAGGATTCTTATAGGATTCTAAAGGATCATATAGGAGCCGATAGATTCCGGAGCTTTGTTGGTGCAGACATGGACACATTACATGAAGGAGGAGTTCACACCTTTAAGCAAGCAAAGTTACAGCGGAGCCAGGAATGGAGCCCGAGGTTGTTGGTTGCTGGTTGCCGGGGGGGGGGTTCTTACCCTGGGGGGCAAGGTCGCGGGTTGTCTTTCAAGGACAAGCATTGACCAAATCTCCCGGTGAATGGGCGACAAGATCACGTGCCAACCTTGTTGTTGCTGCTGCTGCTGCTGCTGCTGCTGCTGCTGTTGTTGTTGTTGTTGTTGTTGTGGTGGTGGTGGTGGTGGTGGTGGTGGTGGTTGTTGTTGTTGTTGTTGTTGTTGTTGTTGTTGTTGTCGTCGTCGTCGTCGTCGTCGTCGTCGTCATTGTTGTTGTTGTTGTGGTTGTTGTTGTTGTTGTTGTTATTATTGTTGTTATTGTTATTGTTGTTGTTGTTGTTGTTGTTGTTGTTGTGGTTTTTGTTGTTGAATATTATTACTTCTAAAGAATAATTATTGTTGGGCCCCCTGGTGCACGCCCCCCTCGCCGCGCCTAGGCCGCAGCCTCATTTTCATCATTTTCGTGAGGAAGTCTCAGGCAAAACGATGTGTACCAGATCCGGTTGTTTTGTTGACGCCCGCTTTCCCTGTCAAAAAACAAGCTAAAGTGGACATTTCTTGTTCTAACATAACCAAACTTCAAGAATCCCTTACAACAAAAATAAGGTAAAGTGGACATTCGCGCGCGCAAGACGAAATCCTTCCAAAACCTTAGTGTTCGTAGCGATTTTAACATAAAAACATCAAAAAACCAATGTTTTTTTCCAAAACAAAATGTCAAAATGTCATCCCGCGCGCTCTTGCGGATTCGTAGGAAACCCAACACTTTTTAAACATTTCTGTCAAACGGGCTTTTGCGAGCAACTTTTTCGAACTTCTGCAACAACGGTTGCGCACCTGCCAGGGCCATCATCCCTGTCAAATAATACCATGCGGGACACATTCGTTTTTTCTTCGCGCGCGCACGCCGTCGTCGTCGGCCGCGGGGCCCTGAATAGTAGCCACGGTCGTCCGCATGCCACGAAGTGAAGTGTCCGAACGTCATAGGGCGGGAAGCTGGGTGTGGGTGGTGGCGAAGAGTCGTTTGGAAATTTGGTAGAGCTTGAACCGGCCCCCCCACAAAGTGGGGGTATTGCCCGCCTCCTATGAAAACCCTGGCACTGGTGAGAACGGAGTGTCCCCACGTGCTAGTAATTGTTGTTGAACATTATTAATTCTAAAGAATAATTATTGTTGGGCCCCCTGGTGCACGCCCCCCCCGCCGCGCCTAGGCCGCAGCCACGTTTTCATCATTTTCGTGAGGAAGCCTCAGGCAAAACGATGTCATCCAGATCCGGTTGTTTTGTTGCCCGCTTTCCCTTGCAAAAAACATATAAAATGACATTTCTTGTTCTAATATAATCAAATTTCAAGAATCCCTTGCAAAAAATAAGGTAAAGTGGACATTCGCGCGCGCAAGACGAAATCCTTCCAAAACCTTAGTTTTCGTAGCGATTTTAACATAAAAACATCAAAAAACCAATGGTTTTTCAAAAAAAAATGTCAAAATTTCATCCCGCGCGCTCTTGCGGATTCGTAGGAAACCCAACACTTTTTAAACATTTCTGTCAAACGGGCTTTTGCGAGCAACTTTTTCGAACTTCTGCAACAACGGTTGCGCACCTGCCAGGGCCATCATCCCTGTCAAATAATACCATGCGGGACACATTCGTTTTTTCTTCGCGCGCGCACGCCGTCGTCGTCGGCCGCGGGGCCCTGAATAGTAGCCACGGTCGTCCGCATGCCACGAAGTGAAGTGTCCGAACGTCATAGGGCGGGAAGCTGGGTGTGGGTGGTGGCGAAGAGTCGTTTGGAAATTTGGTAGAGCTTGAACCGGCCCCCCCACAAAGTGGGGGTATTGCCCGCCTCCTATGAAAACCCTGGCACTGGTGAGAACGGAGTGTCCCCACGTGCTAGTAATTGTTGTTGTTGTTGTTGTTGTTGTTGTTGTTGTTGTTGTTGTTGTTGTTGTTGTTGCTGTTGTTGTTGTTGTTGATGTTGTTGTTGTTGCTGTTGCTGTTGTGTTTGTTGCTGCTGCTGTTGTTGCTGCTGCTTGCTGTTTGTTGTTTGTTGTTTGTTGTTTGCTGTTTGTTGTTCGTTGTTTGTTGTTCGTTGTTTGTTGCTGTTTGTTGTTTGTTGTCGTTGTCCCCCCCGCGTTGTGGCCCGCAACCCGCCCGCAACCCACCCGCGACCCACCCACGACCCACCTGTGACCCTCCCGCGACCCGACCCGCGTCCAACCCGCGACCCGCCAGCGACCCACCCGCGACCCAACCGCGACCCGGCCGCGACCTGGCCGCGAACCGGCCGCGACCTGGCCCGCGACCTGGCCCGCGACCCACCCGCGACCCACCCCCGACCCAACCCGCGACTCACCCACATTGTTTTGGCAAAGAAATCGGCACCTGCGGCGGACTCATTGTAGAGTTCGTACAAATTATGCGCGTGCGGCGGGTTTCTTCAGAGCCTCACAGACTGCCGACGTCCCGGCCGCCCCCTTACTCTTACCCTCAACCGCGGGGTGCTTCGTAATATATCGAATGGCTTCGGCCCATCCCGCCACCGTGCCTGGGTTGTGGGTCGTAGGTCTTGAGAATGTTCGTTGGGATGTCGCGGGAGGCTTCTTGGGGGCCTCTTGGGGGCAGTTTTGAGGCCTCTTGGAGGCTGTTTTGGGGCATCTTGGGGCGTCTTCGCTTGGGGCCTCGTTGGGGCCTCCAGGGGCCCGAAGGTTCTAATGTTCGATTCGTGGTCCGGCTCTTGGGCCCCTCTTGGGGCCGTCTTGGGGACCATCTTGATCCGTCTTGGGCGGCTCTTGGGCTGTCTTAGGGGCCTCCTGGGCCGTCTTGGCGGCCTTCTGGGACCTCTTGGGCCGTCTGCGGGCGATCTTTCGGGCCTCTTGGGTCGTCTTGGTCGGAAAGCCGAAAGGGCGAGGAGGCAAACAAATTTGAAAAACTCACGGGAAATCTAAGATTCTGGCCTTTCGGGACCACCTTCGGAATCCTCTTGGAGGCCTCTTAGGGCGTCTTGGAGATCTCCTGGACCGTCTTGGGGCCATATGGGTGTCTTGGAGCGATCTTTAGGCGTCTCGGGGCCCCTCTTGGACCATCTTGGAGGTCTCTTGGGGCTCTCTTGGTCCGTCTAGGGGCCCTCTTGGGCCCCACAAAGTCGTGCGGGAAGATGCGCCGGATCCCCGACGCGACGCAGCAAGGCCCTGCAGGTCTGGCAGTTTGGGCTTCAGGCCCCCAGAGACCTCTCAGGAATGAGGATTGAGGACTGAGGACTGAGGCTTGAGGCTTGAGGCTTGCCTCAATCTTGAGGATTGAGGCTTAGTGAGCCTCGATCTTGAGGATTGGGCGTGTCGTCAGGTCCTTTGCCGAATCGCCTGAAGGCGATTCGGCAAAGGACCTGACGACACGCCCACTCCGTGCCCAGAGATGCACGGTGCCAGATTCTTCTCTTTGCGCGTGACCGCCTGCCTCGCGTGCATCATGGCGTCTATCACCAGTTCGAGTAGGAGATCAACAACATAATTGGTTTGCCTTTTTTTTTTTTTTTTTTTTTTGTTTTCTTCTCCGTCGAATCGCCGGCCCTCGAACGTTTTACTTTTTTTTTTATCGTGACGCGACGAAAACAATTTCGGGGTAAACCAATTCTGTAGTTGATCCCCTACTCGACCAATAGGTGCCCCGTCCCAGACTTCCAATGTATCGCCATTTGCCTGGCCAGACCTTCTTCGCCACGATGTCCGTGGACGCCGTCAGCATGCTCGGCGAGGACCTCTCCCTCTCTCTCTCTCGCTTGCTGTCTCTCTCTCTCTGTCCCTCTGGTTGCGATAGTTGAGGATGAGTAGAGGCAAAGAGCGATAAGGACAATCTTTTCTCTCTGCGCCGCTGGCCCCACGCACTTGGCGGTGGATACGACTGCGGCGGCAAAAGCATGAAGTGAAAGGTGGAGGAAGGGGGGGGTGCTGGCGAGGAGTAAGGAGGCTCGAGAAGGATGCAGTCGTGAAGAGGAGTGAAGAGGAGTGAAGTGGGGAGGGACAGGGGAGGGGGAGAGAGCTGTGCAGCCTCTAAAGGGGGCGAGGGGAAGCGATGAGTGGGAGAGGGGAAGAAACATGAGAAGAGGTGGTGGTGGGAGGAGGAGGAAGAGGAGGAGGAAATGGATGAGTAGCAGGGGAATGTGGAAGAAGGACGAGGAGGAGAATGTGGAGCAATGTGTTGGAAGGGATGAAGGGGAAGGAACGAGGAATGCGTGGGAGAGGGTAGGTGGACGACTGGGAGGGGGGTAGGGAGAGAGGAAGGAAGGAGGGTAAGTGAGAGAGGGGACGACTGAGGTTCTTCTCCTTCACCTTTCCCTGAATTCTCCCCCCAAGCTCGAACGCCAAAAGCAAGCTTCGCAGCGTCTCACTGCTCCATTTCTCCATCAACCAGTCGGGCGGATGGGCGCAGGCAAGATTCTCATTGTCTTCCTCGGCATTCTTCCTGATACTGGTTGACCAGCTCTTGTTTTTTTCTAATATAGATAGTGCTGCTCATCCTCATCGTCACTACCCTCCCCGCTCCCTTCGTGCTGCCTGCTTCTCACTCGCGAGTGCGCCCTTCTTTTGCTGGAATTCACCACGTCTGCCTGCACCTCCATTTCAACCTTTTGCTTTTTTTCCCTGCTGATAATCATCATCACCGTCACCATCACCATCACCATCACCATCACCATCGCCATCATCAGCATCATCATCTTCATCATCATCATCAGCATCATCATCAGCATCAGCATCATCATCATCATCATCATCATCATCATCATGATCATCATCATCATCATCTCATCATCATCGCCATCGTTATCGTCATCAGCATCAGCATCAGCATCAGCATCATAATCATCATCACAACGTCAGCATCACAACAACAACCACCAGCACCATCGTCGTCATCATCACCATACTCAGCATCATTGGCATTATCATCATCATCACCACATCATCATCATCGGCGTCGTCATCATCATCATCATCATCATCATCATCATCATCTTCATCGACATCATCACCGTCAGCATCATCATCGTCATCATCATCATCAACACCATCATCATACTTACCACCATCATCAGATGCATCATCATCATCATCATCATCATCATCATCATCATCATCATCATCAGCATCAGCATCAGCATCAGCATCATCATCATCATTTCTCAACCAGTGCTTGCATTTAGAGATTATGATTCCGTTTCCAAGGGGCTGGGCCTGTCTGTCGGTTTGGCGGCTATGTGGCCGTCGTCGCCGCCCCGTTGCCGCCTCGACGCCGCCCGTCGTCTAGGCCTGTCGGTCTGGCGGCTATCTGGCCGCCGTCGCCGCCCCGTCGCCGCCACGTCGCCGCTCGTCGTCTGGGCGTGTCTGTCGGTCTGGCGTCGATGTGGTCACCGTCGCCGCCCCGTCGCCCCCCTAGTTTGCAACATATAGATTGCGTCATGAAGATTGCACCGCATGGATTGCACCACATCGATTGCACCACAGAGAGCTTGCATAATGCAGATTCTCCTTTCTAAGAAGAGATAGGTGCTGCCACCCTCCCCCCCGGACTTAACGATCCACGTTTTCGTATTGCCAAACACAGATGAGTCTGACCCAATGTCCATCCTACCTGTGAATTCATACTAGCGCAGCCAGGCCAGTATCGCCCCCCCTCCGTCCTCTGCAAAAAATGATATGCGCACACACTCATTTATCAAGAATCACAAGTTTTAAAGAATCCTTGGCACAAATGGGACGAAGTGCGCACGCGCGCGTCGTCGCGCGCGCAAGCCGAAATCATTCAAAAACCTTCGGTTTCGGAAGGATGTCAAAATCGAGTGCCCAACACATATAACAAACTCAAGGTTGCACAACACGGGGTAGCAACAAGAAGCGTGCGCGCGGGCTCTTCCGAATTCTTGAGGAAACCATAGGTCGATCAATATTTTCACAACATACTATCAAACAGGCTTCGCGCGCGCATGTCGAAGTAGTTCGAACGCCGTTGCGCGCGCGCCGTCGCGAGAATCCTTGACAACAAATGGGACGCGCGCGTCGTCGCGCGCACATGCCGAAATCCTTCAAACACCTCAGATTTCGTAAAGCTTTTCAAACCTAGAATTCAAACCACATATGGAAACACAAAGTTGTGCAACATCAGTTGTCGAAGAAGCGTGCGCTCGCGCTTTTGCGAAGTCTTAAAGCTACCATCGCTCTTTAACATGTTCATGGAATTCTGCCAAGGGGGCCTCCCGCGCGGCATGCCGACATCATTCGCACGCCCTTGCGCGCGTGCCGGGGGGGGTGGGGGGTGGGCGCAGCCCGTTTCAAACAGTACCACGCGGGCTACCCTCGCGCGTCGGCTGCGCGCGCATGTTGAATTCTTTCCAGAATTTGCATCGCCGACGCGAGGGCGCCGTCATCGTCGTCGGCGTGATCAGCACCCGCGCCGTCACTGGCCATGGTCGTCGCTGTCAGCATCGTCACCAATATCGCTACTATCATCCCCGTGTTTACTATTGTCGACGTTGCCATGATACTATTGTCGCCGATTCGTATTGATATGCCCGCTGTGATGTGCCCAGCGGTCAACGCCACCGCGGCTGCGTCGGTCGCGCCAAAGTGCATGCGCGCGCGTGCGTGCGCGGGCTGTCGCGGCAGCCGATATGCACCAGCCAGCGCCAAGCACTCATCGCAATCGCCGCCGCGTGGGTTTTTCAAACCAAGTTGCGGGTGGGTGGGTGGGATGTTTGCGCGAGCAGTAGAATGGACAATTTCAATTTGAGCATTGATTAGTTGCACTGCGTCGATTGTACCACATGGGTTGCGCACCGCAGATTGCACCACATAGCGTGTACAACATATATTGCACCACGCAGAGTGCACGACGCACATCGCACCGCACAGGGTGTACAATGTAGAATGTAGAGCACATGTTGCACCACCTAGGCTGCGCCACATTGCTTCCGCAACGTATACTAAACTGCATGTGCTGCACCACGTGGATTGCGCAGCGCGCATGGGACCACATGGAGTGCACAACGTGTGTCTATAATATCCTCCGTCCCCCAAAGAATATTAAGATCTCCCCCCCCTGGACTATCCGCATCACCTCATAGTCTTTTTTGTTGTCAAAAGACTTAAAACATAAAAACCTGGTGCATCGCAGCCGTGCGGGCTAAGTACGAGTTCATGCCATTTCAGGCAGTCGCCTGTCGCTCCCCCATCCCCTGCAAGACATGCTACGCGCGCGCACTCGTTTATCAAAAGCCAGCAGTTTTCAATGCTCCCTGGAAACAGGTGGGACGAAGCGCGCGCGCGTGTTCGCGCGCGCGCGCCGAAATCCTTCGAATCACTGAGGGCCCGCGCGGATTTCAAAATCGAGCGCCCCGACAACATTTCAACAACGTTGGTTTCGCAGCGGGAATTTTTCAAATGAGCCTGCGCTCGAGCTCTTGCGACTTCCTGGGAACGCTGCCGCGTCTGCAAGCTTTCTCGCGCGCTACCAAACGTGCCTCTCGCGCGAGCATGTCGGAATCATTCGAGCGCCCTTGCGCGCGGGCTGTCGCGAGAACCCGCTGCGAAATCGGGGGCGAAGTGCATTCGCGCGCGTCGTCGCGCGCGCGTGCCGGACTCTTTTTAAACCTTAGGTCTCGCAGTGATTCCAACGTGGAGTAATCTGCGAACATGTGAGCAGCAATGGTTTCGCAACGGGAATTTGCAAGCGCGCTTGCGCGTGCGTTCTCGCGAATATCTAGAGATGTATAGCGTTTCCAACATGCTCATCGCGTGCTGCAATTCGTGTTCTTCGCGCGTGCTGTGGCGAAGCCGTTGCGCGTGCTGTTGGCGAATCCCTTGCAACGGAAGTGGGGCGAATTGCGCGCGCGCGTCGTCGCGCGCGCGCCGAAATCTCTCGAGCACTTGAGGTTCCGCGAGGATGTCAACATCGAGTGCTCCGAACACCAAAAGAGGAAGCATTGTCTTCGCAACGGGAATTTACGCAAAGCTTGCGCTCGCGCTTTTACGAACTCTGAAGCATGTGATGGTTTCTGAAATTTCCGTCTGTTGCTACCAAGCGGGCGTCTCGCGAGCGCGCGCCGAAATCCTTCGAGCGCCCTTGCGCCTGCTTCGGGGCGCGATCCCTGCCTGATGAGATCGCGCCGTGTGGGCCACTCGCGCGCGTCGGCCGCGCGGGCTCACGTCGAAATCCTTCTCCCGCTCTTCATCGCCAACGCGAGGATACCATCGTCGTCAACGGCCTGATCAGCATCGGCGCCGTCATTGCCCCTGCCATGGTCATTGTAAGAATCGCCACCAGCATCGCCCGTGTCATTGAGCCTGCGCGCGAGCCTGCGCGCTAGCGCGGCCGCGAGGATGCGCCGGCCAGCGCCGAGCCATCCGCGCAATCGCCGCCGCGTGGGTTTTGCAAACCAAGTTGCGGGTGGGTGGGTGAGATAGTTGCGCGAGCAGTGGATTTGACAAGTTCAACTTCGGCAGGGTAAATCAAACAGAACCACGTAAATTGTGGCGTCTATTCGCCGCGTAGATTGGGCAGTGCCCCTGTTCCGGAATGCAATTTACGTATGATTCTGCGCCATCGCCAATTCTAAATATGGGGTCATACCATCCCAGACAGGCCGGCATCGGCCCCCCCCATCCCCTGCAAAACGTTTTGGCGCGCGCACTCGTTTTTCGAAAGTCAGGGGTTGCCGGGGCCCCCTGCGCAAAATGGGGTGAAATGCGCGCGCGTCATCCGTCAACAACTTCAGGTTTCGCGAGGAATTCGCAATCGAGCGCCCCGAAAATGTTGAAGCAACAGCGGTTTCGCCGCCAAAATTTTCAAAGGAAGCTTGCTCTCGGGCTCTTGCGAATTCATAACTTGCTGCCAAACGGGCCCTTCGCGCGCGCGCGTTGGAATCGATCGAACGCCCTTGTGCGCGCGTTGTCGCGAGAACCCCCTCCGGCAGTGGGGCCTCGCGCGCGCGCGCGCCTGCGGAAATTTAGAAAAACTGTGTAGCTTTCGCAGGGAGTTCGAAATCGAGTGTCCTGACAACATAGAACCTCACGTATTTTCGCGACCTCAGTCTTCAATAATGCCCGCGCCCGCGCCCCTGCGAGTTCGACTAGCCGCAAGTTTTTCCGACAATCCGTTGAATTTGGCCATGCGGGCCCCGCGCGCCCCGCGTCGAAATCATTCGAGCGCCCTTGCGCGCTGGGGTGGGGGGGTCGCGATCTGCGTCTGATGATGCCATGCGGGCCACTCTCGTGCGTCGGCCGCGCGCGCATGTCGAACTCCCTCCAAAACCTTTACCGCCGACTCGAGGGTGCCGTTGTCGTCGTCGGCGTGATCGGCATCGGCGCCGTCGCTGGCCCTGCCGTCGTCGTTGTCATTGGTCATCGTCGCCAGTGTCGCTACCGTCGTCGCCGCGTCTACAGTTGTCGACGTTGCCATGGTACCGCGCCCGCCCGCGTCGCCGACTCGCACGGAAGTGCCCGCGGGGACTTGCCCAGCGGTCAGCGCCGCAACGGTCGCGTCGGCAGCGCCGAAGTATTTGGCCGCTGCGCGCGCGAGCATGCGCGGGCTAGCGCTGCTGCAGAGATGCAGAGATGCACCGGCCAATTCCAAGCCTTCTTCGCAATCGCCGCCGCGTGGGTTTTGCAAGCCAAGTTGCGGGTGGGTGCGTTGGATGTTTGCGCGAATATGTTTTTGTCCTTCCTAATATTCCATTGGGACCCCCCTCCAGGGGTTAACGGGCTACTTTCCCGCGCTGCCATTTGCAGACGTTTCCCCCCATTGTCCGTCCTAAATATGAATTCATATTATTTCAGTATCGGTTCCCCCCTCTCATCCTCTGCAGAAGATTTTACGCGCGCGCGTTCGTTTATCAAAAGTCAGAGCTTTGCAAGGATCCCTTGCAACAGATCGGACGAGGTGCACGCGCGCGCGTCGTCGCGCGCATATATATATATATATATATATATATATATATATAGAAGAAAGAAAACGCAGTTCCCGTCGGGAGTTTAAAATCGAGCGCCCCGAAACAGTGAGACAACAATTGTTTCGCAACGAGAATGTTCCACCGAAATCTTGCGCTCGGGCTCTGGAGCATGTGCAAGGAAACCAGCGTTTTTTTAAGGGCCTCTGGCGCGCGCGCGTCGGAATGCTCGGGCGCCATTGCGCGCGTGCTGTCGCGAGAACCCCTGCGACAAATGGGGCGATGTGCGCTCGCGCGTCGTCGCGCGCTTGCCGAAATGATTCAAACTGCAGAGGTTGCGCGCGGATTTTAAAGTCGAGTGCCCCGACGACATATCGAACGAATCCTGCGCGCGAGATCTTGTGGATCCTCGAGAAAGCCATGGGTTGACCGACATTTTCGTTCACTTCTGCCAAACGGACGGGCCTCTCGCGCCGCATGCCGATTTCACGCGGGCGCTCATGCGTTTTTTTTTTTTTGGGGGGGGGGGCGGGGGGGGGGGCGCGGTCCGCGTCGCGTATTTCCGCGTGGGCTACTCGCGCGCGTCGGCCGCGCGAACATGTCGAACTCCGTCAAAAACCCTCATCGCCGACGTGGGGACATCGTCATCGTTATCGGCGGGCGTGATCAACGTCGGCGCCGCGATTGGCCTTGCCGTCGTCATCGCGACCGTCGCCGCCATCATCGTTCTTTTTCATAGTCGTGTCTACCATTTTCGGCGTCGCAGTGATATCGCGCCCGCCCCAGTAAGCGACTCGCTGTGAGGTGCCCGCTGGGATGCGCCCAGCGGTCAGCGCCTCCGCGGCCGCTTCGGTCGCGCCAAACTTGCTGGCCGCTGTGCGCGCGAGCGTGCGCGGGCTAGCGCGGCCGCAGAGATGCATCAACCAATTCCAAGCATTCATCGCAATCGCCGCAGCATGGGTTTTGCAATCCAAGTTGTGGGTGGGTGGGTGGGATGTTTGCAAGGGCTTGGTATTTGTCAACTCATTTGTAAAAATCAATGCTCCTTCGTTTTAAAATGGAATTTGAATCTACCCCCCCGTGGTTATCGGTTACCCTTTCCGTACTGTAATTTGCATACGGTTTTGCCCCATCGCCCATCCAAAATATGGATTCGTGCCATCCCAGCCCAACCGGTACCGACGCCCCCCGTTATTCTTTTTGTAACAAAAACGTGCGCGCGTTCGTTTATCCACAATCATCAGTTTCCAAGAAGTGCACACGTGCGCGTCGCCGCGCGCGCATGACGAATTTCTCCATCATTTTTTTTTTGTGGAATTTCGTATGGGTATCATAATCGAGTGCCACGATCATAATAATACACATGGCGTCGCAGCGCTAATTTTCAACAAGAAAGCATACGCGCGTTCTTGCGAATGTTCAAACCAACCATAAATCCCAACATTTTCATAACATGTTACCAAGTGGGATTTGCTCGCGCGCATCTCGAAATCGTTCGATCGCCCCCTGCGCGCGTCGTCGCGCGCGCTTGTCGAAATCTTTCAACCGCTTTATGTTTCGTCACGGTTTTAAAATCGAATGTACAAACACATGTACAACACAGGGTTCAGCAACAGCGTTTGTGTGTGTGTGTGTGTGTGTGTGTGAGAGTTTTGCATACCGCGTGTGTGTGTGTGTGTGGTCATGCAGCGATGCAACTTGGGTTGTGTTTGCCTGCGTCACACTGGACACCCGGGTCTGCTGGGCTCCAGAGGGGGCCTTTCTGGGGCGGGCCCGCGCACACGGCTCGTGCAGGCCCGGGAGGGGACAGGATGGAGCCAGCCTGGGCCACGCCCGGGTCGGGTGAATTCCCTGGGGCTTCTGCGACCAGGGCGGACGGGCCAGGTCACGCCACGGGGCGCGAAGGGACTCGCACTTCGCGCGCGGCGGCCTTCACGGGAGCGCTGCCCTTCGCGAGGGTGGCCTCGCGAGGAGCGGAGACAACCGCGCGTCGCACATCGATTGGCGCGATACGCGAAGTCAGGTGACCCAGGAGAGGGGAGGAGAGGGCGCTGGCCGGGCCGCTGCGCGCACCGCGCCGAGGGCGCGTGCGGTGGCCTGAGCACCTTGTGCCTCGCGTCGGAGCGGCTTCCCAGGGCCTCGGATTCGTGGCGGCAACGGCCTCACGCGGGCCGTCGGCGCAGGTCCGCCCCTCCGGCTCCTCTCGATGATCCTCAGGACGTGTGTCAGCCCAATGTGTGTGAGTGTGTGTGTGTGTGTGCGTGTGTGTGTGTGTGTGTGTGTGTGTGTGTGTGTGTGTGTGTGTGTGTGTGTGTGTGTCTGGCTTCGACACAGCTCGATCGCAATTAGCACTTCCATCAGCTGCTCGCGTTTGAGGACCCTCTTCGCCGCTGACTTAAACTGTGTGTATGTGTTATGCCGTTCTGCTCCGCCGAAATTCCGAAAGCACGCAGCCTGGGCCAGCCTCCATAATGCCGCCAGCGTCGTCTTGACAGGCTTAGGTGGACATGCAGCCGTTGGCGCCAATACACTTTCTGAGGACCATCGATCCTCCGGCCCCTCCTGCTTGCTCCTCCCCCCGGCCTTTCCTCGTTGGCACACCAGCGGCGAGCTCGCTGCCGCGTCGGCGAGACGAGGACCTGGCCATGGCGGCGATCGGCATCAAGACCATCACCGGCGGCTCCGTGATGGACACCATGCTGGTCGACGGCGTGGCCTTCAAGAAGACTTTCTCGTACGCAGGTGGGGCCTGGGCGGTTGTAACTATAGCTTGCACCTGGGCAGTGGGTGACGAGTGTTGCGAGCACCAGAGCCCGGCCTGCATTTCTCCCCGTCTGGGAGCGAAGGCACATCGCGCATCTACGATGATTTGTTGCCCTGGGAACGAGTTGTTTGTTTTCCCCCTCGTGGGTTCGTGGCACTGGGATCGAGTACCCATCGTATCGTAAGGGGATTCGTGGCCCCAGGAGTGACGATCCTATATGGGATGGGGGCCGTTTGGATTCAAGGATAACCGTCGTGGGGGCTCCAGAGGGAGGGTGGCGACGGGCAGCTCGACACAGTAAACGGTTGGATTTGAAAAGTGGGCTAAGGGGGGGGAGGCGGTCCGATAGCCGAAGGTGAAATGCGAAGCAATTCCCGTTTGGGCTTAGGAGAAGACGGGGAGTTTGATGGGGAGAGCTCCCGCGGAACCCGAAGGCCTTCGAAGTATGGTGGGAAGCGCGAAGCGATTCCCTCTCCACGGAGCGATTTGTTCTTGGCGCTTCGCGTGTCCCCACCAGCCCATCCGAAAACAGACACCAGGCGAGTTGCCTTCACCAGGAGTGTGTAGCAAGACGACGAAGATTGACGATGTTGACGACAGGACCACGACGACGACTACGACGAATTGACGACGACTGCGAGGGGGATCCATCCCGGGAGCGACCACAGGCCCCCACTCGACCAGAGCAGCTAAAGGGCCCTGTGCGTTTGTCGAGTGGCGTCCGCGTCGTTGCGTGCGTTTCGCGGTTCCTCGTGGTGGTCCTGGTTGAGTGGCTGCCCGTCGTTGCCTGCGGTGCCTGTATCGCGCCGTGCGTGCTCTGGGTCGTCGCCGCCGCCGCCGCCGCCGACAACGACGACGACGACGACGACGACGACGACGACGACGGCGGCGACGACGACGACGGCGGCGACGACGACGACGACGACGACGACGACGTCGACAGCAGGCAATTTTCAGACATCTGCGATCCCTCGCTCTGGGAGCGTCTTTGAGGCCTCCTGGTGCTATCATGGGGCCTTCTTGGTGCTAACTCGAGGGCCTCTTTGGCCCTCTTGAGGCTCTCTTGAAGCCCTCTTGAGGCTCACTTGGGGCTCTCTTGGGGCCTTCTTTGGGTTGGGGGCCATCTTGGAGGCCATCGATCAAAACCGGCTGAGGTACTCAAGTACGGCCCCGCCCAGCGACAATTTGCCTCTTGGGGCCCTCTTTGCTCTTGAGTCTGTTAGGGGCGCTCTTGGGTTCTCTTTGGGCTGTCTTGGGCGCCTCTTGGGCCTCTCTTGGGGCTATCTTAGGCCGTCTTGGGGCCATCTTGAGGCCTCAAGGGCCCATCGGAAGCGAACAGGCGAGAAGGCAAACAATCATTGAACGACACTTGGTTTTGAAGGGTTGTGGCCTCCTGGGGTCCTCTTTGGGAGGCTCGGCGGGCATTTGAGTCCGTCCTGTGGCGGCCTTGAGGGTATCTTGAAAGATCTTAGAGGTCATCTTGGGCTCTCTGGGGCTTTCTTTGAGCCACCTGGGGCCAAGAAGAATCTCTGACACCTCGCGGGGGGAGGGTTCCAGATCCAGCGGTAGGGGGTAATTAGAAGGAGGGGGACCCCCCTCCCCGAAGGGGAAGAATGGGGGTTAGCAGATCGAGCTCGTTAGAGTGAGATGTGGGTTGCCCTTATAGGCGGTTGGTTAAGGACTTCCGACTCGCAGTTTTTAGGCGGGCTGGCGAGAATATGTTGGTTGCGATTCTGGTTTGGCGTATCAGGATATATGGGGGTGGCAGTTTTGGCCAGGTGGGCGAGGTCGTTTAGGTGGCAGTTTAGGGCTGGTGGGTTAGAATATCTGGATTGCAGGGGTGGGTGAGTTGGTGTGGCAGTTTCGGGTGGGTCGGTGAGGCTGTTTGGGTTTCAGATGCTGTGGTTGTTATTTCAGGCGGGTGGTTGAGGAGGTGTCGATGGCAGTTTTAGGCCGTTGGGTGAGGATATGTTGAGCTTCAGTTTTAGGCGGGTTGGCGTAAATATGTGGGTTGAAATCTTTTAAGTGTGCGGCTAAGAAAATTGGACTGCAATTGTTTATGTAGATATGAGAGAATCGGATCACATTTTCAGGCGGCTGGGTGAATACATATGTATATATATATATATATATATATATATATATATATATATATATTGGTTGCAGGTTTCGGCGGTTGGGTGAAGAGATGTGGGTACCAGTTTTAGGCGGGTGGTTGATGCTGCGCGGGTTGCAATGTTAGGTCGGCGGTGGATGTTATGTGGGTTGTAGAGGCGGGTGGGCGAATGCTGTCCCATGTGTGTGTGTGTGTGTGTGTATGTGTGTGTGTGTATGTGTGTGTGTATATGTGTGCGTGCGTGCGTGCGTGCGTGCGTTCGTGCGTGCGTGGCCGCGAAGATATCAGGGTTGCAGTTTGTGTTCCAAGGACGTGGCCACGTTGGCTCAAATGTGGGGTATACCACTCCTCTTTCCTTTCCCTCTCGGCGTCCCATCCATGGATATTGTGCTACGTGGCACGCGGTCCATTCCGCCATCATTCCTGAGTTGTGGGCAAGTGGTCTCTAAGAGGCCTGTCTGTGTCCCCTGGAACACCTCACAGGGGGCCTCCAGGAGGCTTCCGTGGGACCTCTTGGAGATTGCCTGTGATCATCCTGGGGAACTCTTGGGGTCCTCTTGGGGCCTCCTGGATGCATCATGGGGGGCTGCTGGCGGTCGGGGTGGAGGGCTCGCGGGGGGCACCGTCGAGTTCCCCCACTTTTGTGCCCTTCGTAGGGACTCCGAGCCCGTCTTGAGGGCCACCTTCGGTGGCCTCTTGGGCCGTCCTGGACGTTCTTGACACAGTCTTGGACTACTGGCATCTTCGCGCTCCCGGGGTCTCCGTGACGGCCCGAGAGGCTCACCAGGCAGTCCAGAGCCTCTCGGGGCCATCCCATGGCATGGTGTAAGCTTGGGTTCGGAGCCATGCTCAGGAAGTGTGATGCCAGACGCATCAGAAACGTCTGGTGGGTGAGTTGGGCGTCTGGCCCTCTGGCTAGTTGGGTGTCTGGGGCCCTCCGTTGCAATGCTCAACAGATCATGTTCAAGAGACCCGATCACTCTCGACCCAAATCCTACGGCACGGTGGTGGGCTATGATATGGCGCTTGTGAAAATATCGGCCTTCCGCCAAGAACCTTTCCTCAAGCCCTTTCTCTTTCTTTCTGGCTTTGATCGATCAGTGCAGGAGCAGATGTAGGCAAGCTGAAGGAGCTGGTATTACATTCTTTGTGGAGGGTGGGTGTCTGATTGGGAGGGCTGCTTCACAGAGTGGGCAAGGTATGTTGCCTCGGCAAGCGTTAGGCACGTTGGTTTCTGGCGTCAGCTATGCCTCACAGCCTGGGAAGCAACAGGTTTCGAGCAGCAGCCCAAATGCTTCGATAATCCCAAGATCCTGCTGCTGAACTTGGAGCTGGAACTGAAGGCTGAGAAGGACGGTATTGCTGTTCTGACACGACGAGACCCGAAGCATTCAAGAATGTGTGCCGCTAAGGTTGACAGGATGACACTGGCGGGTCGGTTATGTGAAGTCCTCTTCTCAGATCGCCCGACCCAGAATTTGTAATGCCGCGTTTCGTGTCATGCTTGAAGTTTGTGGGCGAAGCTGCCCGCGAGTGTCCATGTCCGCTAGGTTGAATTTGACAGAGTATGTCCTGCTGCTACTTTTGCTGCTCCTGCTGCTGGCGGGTCGTGCGGGGGAGGATCGCGGGTGTCGTACCGGTGTATCGTTTTTGTCGTGATGGCGTGTTGCCAGCAGGATGAGATGACGTGGTATTGTGCAGTGTCGTGATGTCGTTCGGATGGCGGGATGATGTGCCTCGGTCGTGAGTCGCAATGCCGTGTGGGACATGGGGCTGAGAATTGTGGTGTCGCGATGAATCCAAAGCAAGAGCTAACTGTGAAGTTCAGGCTCCCAGCTGGAGCAAGCGCCAGAGCGACAGCGGAGCGAGCGCGAACACAGCAGTGGAAGGTGAGGCTAACGCGATCGCTCAACCTATAACCTATAGCTTAGTATCCAGCACCAGGCTCGAACCCGAGGCGAAACCTGTCCTCTGTGACGAGAGGCCCAGCTCGACGCACGGGGCAACCTCTGCCGGGAAGGCCAAGACGCGGCAGCAGGGCGGCAGGGCGACACAGGCCGAGCGCCGGCGCCGTGTCGAGAGAGCTCAGACGGCCGGCGTCGGTGCGTGTCAGAGAGGGAGCCTGAGCATCGAGGAGCCCTTGTGCGTCCGGGGAGAAGGATCGGGGAGGGGGTGGAGGTGGGGAGGAGGGAGGAGGGGGGGAGGGAGGACGGGGGGGAGCCCTCGCCTGCCATCCAGCCGCCATCGATGCCGAGCGTGCGGAGCCCTTGGCCTCTCTCTAGCTTTCGCTCGCTGAAGGGTTTGGCCTCGCGTCCTCGCTGTCCGGAGATGCTCTCACGGGCCAGGAGTCGCGTCCTGGCCCGGAATGCGGATGAATGCGGAGTGACACTCCGCCGCAGGACAACGCAGAAGTGCGAATCACCGATCCGGACCAGTATCAGTCGATCGTGGATGCGGAGTGGACGATCATCTACGAAAAGTTGGACCTGATCGCCAAGTCTGGCGCGCAGGTGGGATGCGACGCGCTATTCTGCGGTCTGTGTCTGAGTAAGATGCTTGGCTTGACTGGCCAGCTTCCTCGTCTTCCCATTCCTGCCCCTCCCCACCCTTCCTTCCCGTCTCATCCTCCCATCCCGGCCACTGCCTTGCTTGGAGGTACCCTGCTCGCCAGCGGTGGGGACGTTCACGCATGATGATGACGGACAGTTCAAGGGGGGTTGGGACGAGGAGGCGCTGCTTCCACGATTTTGGAAAGCCTGGGCGGATTTGATCTAACCTATGCCAGGTCCGCTTCGTGGTTATCATACTTTTCTCATCCCCCACTGTTCTCGGCCTCCTCGTCCTCATCGTCGTCCGTCTTTTCCATCAACTATCACGATCTGCCACTGCCCCGAAGTCGAGTTGTGGTTGTTGTCCTTGTCTTGCTCCTGCTGCTGTCTGCTGCCGCCGCCGCTCTTGCTCCTCGTCCGCTTGCTCATCTTCCTGGACCTGCTCCTTCTCTTGTCTTGCTGTGCCCGTCGTGATCCGGCCGCCACTGCAGCTGTGCTTCCGTTTTTTCCCCTCTCGTCTGGCCTTCTTGACCAGCTCCTTGGCCATCCCCCCCCAGCTTTGCCAGCTCCGAGGTGGTCCTGAGCCGCCTTGCGATTGGCGACCTGGCCACGCAGTACTTCGCCGACAGGAACATTTTCTGTGCTGGCCGAGTAGAGACCGACGACCTCGAGCGCACCCGCCGTGCCGTGGGAGGCGCCTCGGTTGGGCCTGGCCCTGCCCTCGCCGCCTCGCCGTCGGCCGCTCTCGGCTGGGCCGTGCCCCCACGAGTGGAGAGGGTCGCACGGCACCGTCTTCCGAGGCATCCCCCGAGGGTGGCCGCGGAATCTGATGTTGGACCACCCTATAGTTTCGCCCGAAGAAAAGGGGGAGGTGAGTGGCTAAGCGGCGCTAGTGTCTTCGGCGCTTGCGTCTCCTGCGAACAACATGGCGCTGGCACCACTGCAGGCTAATCTGCGCTTGCGGTGCGCGTCTGATGGGCCAGATGTCAGGGCTGTGCTTCTCTTTCGTCTTCCTCTGGAGCCAGGAGGGGGGGAGGAGGGAGCAGGAGGAGGAGGAGGAGGAGGAGGAGGAGGAGGAGGAGGAGGAGGAGGAGGAGGATGAGGAGGAATGATGAGGAGGAGGAGGAGGAATGATGAGGAGGATGAAGAGGAGGGATAAGAGGAGGAAGAGGAGGAGGGGGATGAGAGAAAGGTAGGCGGGAGAGAAGAGGAGTGGCTGCACAGAGGAAGGCCTAGCCTCCTCCAGTCCTCACTCTCATTCATCGTCCTTTTGAGGGAAGCCAGGGGCCTGCCTGGGCCTGTAGGCACACCCCCTGGGGTCCGTTCGATCTCTGGCCGCG